GAACTGCACGAGGAAGACAAGGAGGAAGAAGACAACAACGAGGGAGAAAAAGAAGACACGATGCGCGAATACACGGAGGAAGAGAAACAGCAAATATTATTCGAGTACCATGATGCACCGACGGGAGGGCATCAGGGGGTAGCAAGAACGTTAAAAAGAATAAAATTGCTACATGACTGGCATGGCATCACAAAAGACGTCGAAAGTCATATTAACAAACGTAAATTATGTCAAAAGAATAAATTGAGTCGGAAAACGAAAATGCCTCTTGTAATTACAGATACGCCGGAAAGAACATTCGAAAAATGCGCCTTAGACATAGTAGGGCCATTGACAATAACGACAAACGGAAATAAATACGTTCTGACTTTCCAGGACTTGTTAACTAAATTTAGCAAGGCAATACCAATAGAAAATCAGGAAGCAGCTACAGTCGCTAAAGCCTTCGTAACAAAAATCATAATGGAGCATGGAATTCCTGAGAAAATTTTGACGGATCAAGGTACGAATTTTATGAGCGAATTATTCAAAACGGTCTGTAAACTCCTAAAAATGGAAAAAATTCAGACGACAGCGTATCATCCAGAAAGTAATGGGGCATTAGAGCGATCGCATCGTACTCTCACGGAATATTTAAGACATTATATTGACAAAGAACAATTAGATTGGGACGAATGGCTTCCATACGCTATGTTTACATACAACATGACTCCACATACGGCTACAGGCTATACACCTTTTGAACTAATATATGGACATCAAGCGACACTACCGACAAGCTTGCAACAACCGCCGAAATTGACGTACTCTTACGATGATTATGCGCAAGAGCTAAGAGAGAGACTTCGCGCAACGAGTCGAGTCGCACGCGAAAATGCGAAGCAAGCCAAAATACAGGCGAAGAAAATCTACGACCAAACGAGCCGAGAGAAAACCTTTCGAGTAGGCGACCAAGTACTACTATACGACGAAACGGTGAGAAGAGGTCGGTCGAAGAAATTAGAATCGAAATGGATAGGACCATATATGGTGTTAGAAAAACACAACGATGTTAACTACTCTATAAAAAAGGGCCGCAGAACTATACGCGTACACGCAAACCGGCTGAAGCTTTTCATAGAGAATTAGTAAAGCCAAGAGAAGCGTGTAGACTTAATTCATTAATATTACAGCAGATTAGGATTCATAGAAAAGTAACGTGAGTCCTTCTATTGCAGGATCCTTATCATACGGACAATAATAAACGCCACACCCGAGGCGTCAGCGGAACACATTGAAAGTCCGTATGACTGGACACAGTTCCAACACCAGCCAGGTATATATTTCGAAGAAATCGGCGGAATGAATATAATTGAATCGGCATGAAAATTAGCGATTAAAATAGATATAACTGCTCTTGAAACTCGATACGAGCAGCTCCAAGAATGCTTAAAACATGCTGAACAACTGTGCGAAGTAGTCATAATTGGTAACGCACTGCAGCTATGTAAAAGCATGCTGAACATTTTCGAAAACGATAATGAAAAGCTATCTACGTCATTAAATCGTCTTAAAATATTATACAAAACAACTCAGAATAAACGAGGATTAGTAGACGCTATCGGCACCGTCAGCAAAACACTGTTCGGTACCATGGATGCGGACGACGCGAAAAGAATATACGAGCAACTGCAATTACTGCAAGGAAATCAACAAACGATACAACACGTCGCGAAGCACCAACTAAAAATTATGAATGCAATTATTGGTCATATTGATCATCTAGAAAAAGCGATAGCCTACAATGAGGACCTACTTTCCAATGTCACTACTAAAATGGAGCTACAGTTGGCCAGATATACGCAAAGAGAAAACTTAGATGAATATTCTCAAATTATTTTAGCTATCTTGACTAACCTAATGACGGACGTAGTTAGAACAAAAGAATATTTAGTAACCGCGAGAAAGGGTATATTACGTACAAGTTACCTACCGCTAGAACATATTATAAAAGATTTGAGAGAAGCTGCTTCACAGCTTAACAGAGGATTACACTTTCCTTTCCAAATAAAATTAGAAAATTGGCACTCTATCGAGAAATATACGTCAGTAAATGCTTTTGTTATTAATAATTACATATTTACGACTCTTAGATTTCCAATAATTGCGTACCCTACATATAAAATAATAAGGGCAATGCCATTACCTATGTACGAACTATCAAATGTATTTAAATTCATTAAAGTAATTCATCCAATAATAGCGATAGATAAAGAAAATAATCATTATACGTTGTTACGCGAAAACGAGTTAAAAGAATGTATCCACGATATAACCATGTATACGTGCGAAAAGAATTTTCCTATATATCAGACACAATCTGATGCACCATGCGAAGTGCAAATTTTCACAAACATGCCAACTCCGGCAACTCCGGAATTGCGAGTACGGACGTGTCTTGGCAAGTATCACATTATGGATTACGCCAACGGAGGATAGAACGTGGCTGTACTCAGCCATAAAAAATCAAGAATGTATCATCACTTGTGATGACGGACTAGAAGAAAAAATAGAAATAAGCAAAATAGGCAAATTAAATTAAAAGGAAACTGCAAATTAACGACACCAGACATTATCTTGAAAACGAATTCTCAACTAGAGACGCGGTACATTCAAACTCATTTACCGGAGTTTAATCTCACCTTAAATATTGATAATGAAAATACTTTAGCCTCCCCAAGCGTACCCCATTGAAAAAAATAATAAAAGATCCCGAAGAACTAACTAAATTAAGTTTAGATATCAACGAAATAGATAACTACCTAGGAAATAACAAAAGCATATTCA